GGCTCATTCATCCCCCTTCCTCTCCCCTGTAACTATTCCCCAGGTCATTGCTGTAAATGAGAATGTGTTCTCAGTCAACTGACCTGGTAAAATAAAAAATATACAGACAGATATATTTTTTGGATGGACAGACAGACAGACAGAGAAATAGATAGATAGATGATAGATAGATAGATAGATAGATAGATAGATAGATCTCTCAATGTGTGTCAATCTATCTCAATATGTGTCAATCTATCTCAATATGTGTCATTCTATCTCAATATGTGTCATTCTATCTCAATATGTGTCATTCTATCTCAGTGAAACCTCCTCATTCCCGTAGCGGGGTTTAATTGGATGAGAAACACAGCGATGCAAAGGGTTAAAAGCAGAGAAAAGACTCTTGGCCGAGGTTCAAGAGGAAAGCACCTCCAGGCAGTACTGGCTGCGGCTCGGTTCACTGCTGCTAAAAGAGAAGGCTGCGTTTCCCCTCATGCCTCTCTGTCTCCATTTAATTACACTGAGGCTGACAGACATGGTGCTTAAAGAAACAAAACAAAAAGACAGGGTCAAAAATAAACAGCGCTGCAGTCATTCATTGAGGGCGCGTCACAGACATAGTCCCCACAGTTTACTGTATATCATTGACTTGTATTCAGATCACAGGAGGTTTGGTGGCACCTTCATTGGGGAGAACGGGCTTGTGGTAATGACTGGAGAGGTAATGAGTGGAATGGTATCAAATACATCAAACACGTGGTTTCCAGGTGTTTGGTTCCATTCCATTTGCTCCGTTCCGGACGTTATTATGAGCCGTCCTCCCCTCAGCAGCCTCCTGTGGTTCAGATGCTTCAAGTCTGACAGGCTTGAAGCATGATTCAGTATGTCGTGTAGGCTATAAAATGAATGCTTAGTAGGCATCCACCACTGGGAAAAACTGTCCTTATGTAGTAAAAGGTGAGTATCCACTACTAGATCTATTGAACATCAATGTTTTTAATTTACTAAACTTCAACTACAGATGTAGGATCTTCATTTGAGCCAGTTTGCTACAGCAGGAAAACAATCCTGCAGCAACAGGAAATGTGAATTATTATGTGGATTATAATTGATAGACATTTTTGTAGGAGTTGATCCATTTTTTGTAAGGGAATTTCTAAGTGGAAATTACAAACTTCAGAAGCCTTTTTAAAACCTCAAATACACTAAAGTTTAACATTTGCTGCATTGCAGGAAAGTTATCCTGCAACAGGGTGATCAGATTAAGATCCTCCATCTGTATGCAGACATGTTTACCTGCTACCTGTGACAAGATACAGATGTGCATTCTATTTACACAGATAGTGGACTCCCACATCACTTCCCTTGAATTAGCCCACTTCATTCTGAGTTCAACGTGGGGTCAGCAGCACACCACAGCCATCACAAGCCTCTTCCCAAGCCAAGGGCCTCCTCCTCTGAAAGCAGCTGGGGTTTATTTCATCTGCTCCTCGTGTCTTTGAATCCTGACAAAGGAAAACAATGAGAGGTGGTAAGTCAGGCGCAGTGTTTTCAGACGGGAGACCAGAGTTGTTTCATTAGGGTGCACCGAAGCGGAGGTCAGAGTCCCTCCCTGATTCATTTACATTTTAGTCATTTAGCAGACACTCTTATCCAGAGCGACTTACAGTTAGTGAATGCATACGTTTTTTGTGTGTTTTTTTTTCATACTGGCCCCCCGTGGGAAACGAACCCACATCCCTGCCGGCCAAACCCTCCCCTACCTTGGACCAATTGTGCGCCGCCCATGGGTCTCCCGGTCGCGGCCGGCTGCGACAGAGCCTGGACTCGAACCAGGATCTCTAGTGGCACAGCTAGCACTGCGATGCAGTGCCTTAGACCACTGCGCCACTCGCCACATTCAGTCAGTTTTCTTCTGTTTGGTGCCTAATGAATACAACGCAAATGGGATGGAAGACAAGATGGTGGATTTTGGATGGTGTAGCCCCCAATTCCCCCTGGCCACTGCCAACTTCCCTCACCATCGGCTTTCCTACCCCGTCACCACACTTGGCTTGGAGAAACTAGGCAGGAGATGGAGACAAGACGTGAATACTCCTTGGAATTTTTTTGGGGCAGCAAGAATGCCCTGGATCTTAATCACAAGGTTGGAAAATGGCGTGCTGTGAAAATGTTAACAGACCCATCATGTCCCAGAACACATATAGCTACAAACGTTTGCATAAGGTCCCTCTTGATTGAATCTATCATACAGTATGGAACCATTCATGTGATCATGGAATGTCTGTTTATTTAAACTGTTCCTTGAATCCCAGTAAATCAACTAGAAACTCTCATTATGTGATAATTTGCACACATTTTTCAAATACTGTGAAACCACTTAAAAATGTCTATGAATAGCCTTTTTGTAGGCCTAATACTGCAAATTCAAACAACATATGAAATCAACTTTGAAAAAAAAAAACGTCTGTTTCAATGGCTGAGCCATGTGGCTCTGCTTCGTTCTGTACCACAAACGCCGTATAATCAGCTCTTGTTTACTTTTCAAGCTTAAAGCTAATTACAGCTTTCAAAAGGCAGCGGCTCAGATCTTCGTCAGAGACAAAAACAAAATGGCCACCCTGTCAGAGTGAAGAAAAGCACAGGGCGTCTCAAGACACGATTCATACTGCTTACATTGCTTTTCCAGCCAGTCATTCTCTCTCGTTCTCTTACCCAAATACAAGAGCTTCCACAAATACGTGTGTTGTTGAAAGACTCAAACAGGATGCCATTGTGTTATAAACACAGAACTTTCTCCTACTGGGGCCGGTCTGGGCCCATGTACCCACTGTGGTTTGTTGTGTAATCATCCAGCTATGTGTTTTTCAGTTTCTCACCACCACCCTCTCTGTGTGTTTCCATTGGTATTGGGCTCTCGTCCCATGGATAGAGTTGGGGGGAAGGAATCTGATTTCCGCAGACTGGAGCAGAAACCGTTTATGAGGAGCAATGCTTTTTTTGGGGGTGTTTTTACTTTCTACAGATTTGAGAGATAGATCTATGGTGCACCCAAGGCAGATTTTCCTCAATGACATTAACATATCTTTTCCCCAGTGTAGACCATTACCAGAAGCATTCGCTATGTAGCTACATGGACTGTCTTCTTGTTTGGTCAGGACAGATGGTTTCGGTTTTATGTTTTATTCTAGACTCACAAATTCCCACAAATAATATAACTGGGAATTATCAAAGGAAACTAGCTTCCCTCACCACATCCAGGCTGGCAGCTGATTACATTTACATCGTAGTCATTTAGCAGACGCTCTTATCCAGAGCCACTTACAGTTAGTGAGTGCATACATTTTCATACTGGGAATCGAACACACAACCCTGGCGTTGCAAGCGCCATGCTCTACCAACTGAGCTACATCCCTGCCAGCCATTCCCTCCCCTCCCCTGGACGACGCTGCGCCAATTGTGCGCCGCCCCATGGGTCTCCCGGTCGCGGCCGGCTACGACTGGATTCAAACCAGGATCTCTAGTGGCACAGCTAGCACTGCGATGCAGTGCCTTAGACCCCTGCGCCACTCAGTGGATGTGTCCTTCTAGCCTTCAGGGGCTTCTGGAGCTTTGGTACGGCCAATCAGATGTGAATGTACCTTCTTTCAATTGTTTTTGATTATAATTTGTTATTGTTATTATAGTTATTGTTTGATTTAAAACTTTCCAAGCATTGGTGCTTGTCACTGCTTATTTAACTTATCAAAACATATTTATTGGTGATCATATGCAACCTTTGGTTGATCGTGATGGTGGTAATTAAGTAACATAACATAGCTATTTAATAGAAAGACTGTGGCTGAAGCTTTTGCGTTTATTGTTGAGCATAAAGGGTAAACACATTTACTTGCGTTTACCCTCCACTACACCTCTGTTTTTTTTTGATCCCACAACTGATTATGACACTATTTCACAACTACAATTCTAGTGCCCTATCACGTCACATATCTCAACTCAATACTCAAAACACCATAAAAAAATATCAGTAAAAAGACAAATCAAAGGTTGAAGACAGCCCAAAATCGTATAATACGAGTACTTTATTGTCAATGTGTAAATGGCATAACTTTTTCAGGTGATTGATAAAATATGAGAACTAAAACCGGGTTTGTCCTATTTTTTGCAGAATATATTTTTCTCCAAAAGGCATTGAGAATGCATATATAGAATCCAAAGTGCATAATTCTGTTCCTTTTTTATTTCGTCCATATACACAATACACTATACATAAATAATTACATTGTAAAAATGACTCGGTATTTACAAGTATAATATATTTCATATAATATATAAAACTTTATATTAAATCTAGGTAGATTATATTTGGGATAGTTGGTTGAGATAGCTGTCTGTGTGTGTGTGTGCATGTGTTCTTGCGTTAGCGAGCATGGGTGTGCGTGTGTTTGTGTGTGTATAATGAGCAACTATGTTTACTGTAGTGTGTGTGTGTGTGTGTGTGTGTGTGTGTGTGTGTGTATAATGAGCAACTATGTTTACTTTGTGTGTGTGTGTGTGTGTGTGTGAGTGTGTATGTGTGTGTGTGTGTGTGTGTGTGTGTGTGTGTGTATGTATGTGTGTGTGTGTGTGTGTGTGTGTGTGTGTGTGTGTATGTGTGTGTGTGTGTGTGTACATATGCCTGTGAGCACCTGTGTAAGTAAAGACGTGTACTGTATTTGTGTTTTTCTGTCTGTCTCTCCATGTGTATGCCTGTCCATCCATCCATCCATCCATCCATCCATCCATCCATCCATCCCTCTGTCTTGTCTTCCTAGTCCGTGTGCTATCTGTGGGTATTGAGCAGCACCTGTCTTGTCTTCCTAGTCTGTGTGCTATCTGTGGGTATTGAGCAGCACCTGTCTTGTCTTCCTAGTCCGTGTGCTATCAGTGGGTATTGAGCAGCACCTGTCTTGTCTTCCTAGTCCGTGTGCTATCAGTGGGTATTGAGCAGCACCTGTCTTGTCTTCCTAGTCCGTGTGCTATCTGTGGGTATTGAGCAGCACCTCCACCCAGCAGGGGCAGGAGGTGATGAACTGTCTGGAGTAGCAGGGGCCCCAGCCCTTGGCGAAGCTGATCCTCACACTGTGGGGGTCGTAAGGGCCCTCCAGGCCCCCAGGGGGCTCCATGCCCTGCTGCAGGATCCAGCTGGACTTGTCATAGTCAAACACTTTGAGGGAGTAGCCCGGCATCACCCTCCTCACCGTCAGTCCCCTCACTGGGTTGGGCAGGTCCAGGGTGGGCGAGTGGACAAACACTGGGTGATGGCTACGGTTGTAGACCCACACCCCATCAGGTTCTTGGCTCAGGACAATCCCGTAGCCGATTTTGTTGCGCGTTCGCTGGACACAGCTACCCGTGCTGCTGCCGCCGCTACCGGCACGGTGACTACGGTTGCCACGGTGACCGGCGCCACCGTCGTGGTGGTGACCGTTGCTAGCGTTGGCAACGGCGTTGAGTTGGCCCAGGCAGAGGCCCGTGCCCTGAGGTAGGTCGTAGAAGATGCTGAGCGAGGGCTCGTGGGCCGGGTAGAGGCGGCCGACCCGCGTCCGCTGCTCCCAGTAGGCCACGCTGCACCAGTGGGAACGCCGCCCGCAGGAGGACGAGGAGCCCACGGAGGTACCGGGGTCTGAGGAGAGAGAGAGAGATTGTTATTGTTGTAACTCCATTCACTTTTCATGCCAATAAAGCTGAACTGAATTGAATTATATTAATTTGTGGGGGAGGTAGAGAGTAAACGTTCCTTTCTTGCTAAAGGAAAACCCCTGAATAACTAACTAACTAAAGCTAGATTTTACTACAGTCACTAACTTCAAGTAAAGACATGTGTCCATTGACCAGACTGATAGACCTAGGAGAGGGACCAGACTGATAGACCTAGGAGAGGGACCAGACTGATAGACCTAGGAGAGGGACCAGACTGATAGACCTAGGAGAGGGACCAGACTGATAGACCTAGGAGAGGGACCAGACTGATAGATCTAGGAGAGGGACCAGACTGATAGACCTAGGAGAGGGACCAGACTGATAGACCTAGGAGAGGGACCAGACTGATAGACCTAGGAGAGGGACCAGACTGATAGACCTAGGAGAGGGACCAGACTGATAGACCTAAGAGAGGGACCAGACTGAAAGATCTAGGAGAGGGACCAGACTGATAGACCTAAGAGAGGGACCAGACTGATGGATCTAGAAGAGGGACCAGACTGATAGACCTAGGAGAGGGACCAGACTGATAGACCTAGGAGAGGGACCAGACTGATAGACCTAGGAGAGGGACGAGACTGAAAGACCTAGGAGAGGGACCAGACTGATGGATCTAGAAGAGGGACCAGACTGATAGACCTAGGAGAGGGACCAGACTGATAGACCTAGGAGAGGGACGAGACTGAAAGACCTAGGAGAGGGACCAGACTGATAGACCTAGGAGAGGGACCAGACTGATAGACCTAGGAGAGGGACCAGACTGATAGACCTAGGAGAGGGACCAGACTGATAGACCTAGGAGAGGGACCAGACTGATAGACCTAGGAGAGGGACCAAGAGGTGCGTGGTCACTGTTAGTGGATGGAAATGGAAACGGTTAAATTTTCAACACAAAACAATCCTACTCCATCTTACTTACAAAAACAAAAACTCTTACAGTAAGTTTATATTTCCTCGTTTCCCATGAGCCATTAGTCGTAAGTTCTAAAAACCCTGGAAAATCTGTCATCTTGACCGGCAACACCCCACTCCCCCTACCTCCCCCTCCACCTCTACACCCCTCCCCTCCACATTCCAGACGGGTGAGCCCGCGTGGGAGAGTCAGGGGGTCCCCTATCCCCCCTATCCCTCCATTTCATAGCCCCTCCCCCCATGGGGAGAGAGAGGGACAGAGGGGGGAGAGAGACAGAGAGAGCGACAGAGAGAGAGGTGGGGGAGAGAGAGAGAGAGAGAGAGAGAGAGAGAGAGAGAGAGAGAGAGAGACAGAGACAGAGAAAGAGAGAGAGAGACAGAGAGACAGAGAAGAGAGAAAGAGAGACAGAGAGAGAGATAGAGATGAAGAGGAGCTAGCGAGAGAGGAGAGAGAGAGAAGAGAGAGAGAGAGATAGAGAGATATAAGCAGAGACGAGCGAGAGAGAGAGGAGATATGAGACGAGCAGATGAGAGATAGAGAGATGAGGAATAGAGATAGAGAGCGATCGATCTATCGCTCATACTCCATATCGTCTACTCTCGCGCCTCAGATCCGAGATGCCATATCGCTCTCTAGCATCCCTCTCGCTTTGCCTCTAGACTCTAGCTCCGCTACGAGAGATAGAGATAGAGAGATAGAAGAGAGAGACACAGAACAGAGAAGGATATCAGAACGAATATGAGAGAGAGAGAGCGAGATAGAAGAAGAGACAGAAAAGAAAGATACATAGAGAGAGAGATCTATTAAGATCAATACTATCATAGACAGAGATATACATACCTATCGCGATATCTCTTAGAGAGATAAGCGAAGATATATTAGGAGGAAGAGAGAGATAGGTGGGGGGGTTATGCAGCATTCAGCTCCCTGACAACCTAGCGCGAGCCCGCGAACCCCTGACCCCCCAGCCCTCATGCTATCAGCTCACATTAACTCCCACACAGAGTGATGCCATTATTTTGCTCCAGAGACTCTATTGACACAGAGGATTTAAAGCCCATGTGCCTGTGGCCCCATTCCTTTCATACTCATGCTAGCCCCCCTCTCTGGGGCCCTAATGGCCGCCCTCTTTCCTATTAACAAGCTGCTTTAAGGTGAAGCTGGGCGGAGAGACGCAACATGTGGAGCTATACGTTTTGCGCTGCGGCCATTTTAGTTTTTCCATAGGTGGATATACTTTGTGTGCAAACTTTTGGCATGCGCAAACACACACACGCTCACAGGCAAGCACGTACACACACACACACACTTTTTCAAATTGCGCTTCTCATCTGAGGCCCACGTGTGTCATTAGCGAATTCCAGCCTGGCAGCTCCTGCGGTCTGCACTTTTTACAGCTCCACAATAAGAGAGAACAGAACAGGCTGCTAGCGAGGAGCGGGATCAGACAGACATTTACAGCCTCTACTCTTCCCTGTAATAACACAGATAAACTCATAGAGGAGAAAGAGGAAGGAGCACTATGGGGAAAATCCAGATTTGAGAGAAATGCGTGGCAGTCCAAATGCCGATTAGTTCTCCAGTCCTTGCATTAACTGAAACAGTGCAAATCCTTCATTGGCATCAAATGCATGACACAAAAGTGGGTTATATTGACTCCTAACTATGCAACGTGTTCACAGTACACCCATTTTCACTACAATTGATATGACACAAGCATTCTTTCAGGATGTAGCTGTTCATCGTGCATTGAGGTCAATGGATTTGTGCAGGTGCTGTGCAGGTCTATCTCCAATGTAGATTGATACCATTTGCTATGTGCTGTGAACCATTTCTGACCTGATCCAATGTAGAAATGTATTACATTCTGAAACAGCTTTAGCCTCACCTTACCATGTCATCGCTCCTCACTAAGAGCTTGTGTGATAGAGGGGGAGAGAGGGGGAGAGAGGGGGAGAGAGGAATGTAAACTTTCTGTGGAATTTAGAAAGGGGGGTACAAACTAAAGGTTATCAATTTGTTTAGTTACGGCTTGAAGAACAAAAAGCGCTGTGTGTGTCTGTCTGTGTGTGTGTGTGTGTGTTGTGTGTGTGTGTGTGTGTGTGTGTGTGTGTGCGCGCGTGCGTGCGTGCGTGTGTGTGCGCGCGTGCGTGCATGTGTGTGTGTGCGCGCGTTTCCTTCAGGATGTCAAAGTGTGTATTATTCATTATTGTTTTGGCTGACCTGAGCCTCCTGAGCCTTGTCCGTTAAACTGAACGTTCCAGTTGGATTTTCTATAGTTCTCTCTGATCAGTTTCAGTTGGATTTTCTATAGTTCTCTCTGATCAGTTTCAGTTGGATTTTCTATAGTTCTCTCTGATCAGTTTCAGTTGGATTTTCTATAGTTCTCTCTGATCAGTTTCAGTTGGATTTTCTATAGTTCTCTCTGATCAGTTTCAGTTGGATTTTCTATAGTTCTCTCTGATCAGTTTCAGTTGGATTTTCTATAGTTCGCTCTGATCAGTTTCAGTTGGATTTTCTATAGTTCTCTCTGATCAGTTTCAATTGGATTTTCTATGTTTCTCT